ATAATATTGTTCATTCACTTAACGATCAAAGATTTTATTTTAAGCCACAGGGGCTTGCTCCCGGTGTCTCATAATTATTCTTTAAAAAATCATTTACAGAAATAATAAAAAAAAACATTTTTAATCATTACCGTATATGATTTCTTTAGAAATAGATAATAATAATATGCTTTGTTTTTTTTATTTTAAAAGTATGTGAGTTTTGTTTTGAAAAATAAATAATTATAACATTACAAACCGGGAGCAAGCCGCTGTGAAATATCAAAAATCAAGTATCTTTATCCGTGAAAACAAAATATAAACATTGTATCACTTTAAAAAAAAAGATTGGTTTTTTTTATTTCATGTGTTAAGTGCAACATCCGCTATAGAACTTACAGTCATGTTCTCATGAAAAAAATCTTTTTTTAGGGGGGGGGGGTACCAGTATAAATTGTTTAGTTTTCAAAGATTCATGAATAATTTTAATTAATTTATTATCTTTTATATAATGCAGGGGTAAGTATCTGTCAAAATCTAGCCAGTCGGTCTTCAATGATTATTATTTCTAAATCGATTTTCATAAGAGCAGCCGATCAGATTTAACATGACATCCGACCAGATTTATACACATTTGGAAACGGAGTAAGATTAACAGTGCACAGTATATCGACTTGTTAGACAACGGAATAGACCTTAAAGCTGAACACGACTCGTAAATAGGCATACGCCATTTCTGATAGCATTATCTACGATACATCAATACTAGGGTATACTCGTCGCTTTCGTTACACCTGACTGCTTTATTGTCACAGGTATCGGCGTGGAATGGCGACCCGTGTTCGTGCTGGTAATCTTGCATTACATTTGTTTATATTTTATTGCAGTTACGTTTATCTATGTTGTTTGTGTACTGCTCTGACTTATACAGCTATAACTGTAAATTTATTTGGAATCTTACTTTCCTGCATTAGACAAAGTTTTACGTTATTTTTCTCGCTACCAATTAAGTCCTGTATAGCATACGTCCGTCTACATCGGTTTCGACTGATTAAACTGAACAGTCTCTAATTCTTGCCCTATTTTTATGGGTCTGCAGGGTAGCCAGTCTGGGGAACGAAAATGGCGGATACATTTCTTTTACGAATCGTGTTCAGCTTTAATTAGGTGTGCCCACCGTTCCCGGTTAACTAACAGGAATCTATACATACACAACCTACACTGACAGATTTTGATAATCAAGTATTTTTAAAAAATTTAAGTTTAACGCAAGCATATCATAAATGAAAAATTATGATTCATTGTAAAAGGACATTATTTTGATACCCATAATGATACAAAAAGAATTTAAATTAAATATGCTATTCTAAAAAAACTTTTGTAAAAATAACCAGATAACTCTTCTGCGAGGATTATCACTTAATTTTTGACACATTTAAACGGAGCGGTATATTATATTACCTGATAGGATCTTAAGAAATACAGCAAGACTAAATTTAAACATATGTAATTTAAAGAAGAAGGTACAGTGTCAATACAAATGAAGCCCTATACATGTATTTTTCTAAAATATGAAAGTGATATAAAAATTAAAATTCATTTTTTCTGAATCATAGGAATTATTTGCAGTAAGAATACACAAATATTTATTCTCATATGACCACCTAAACACTAATTGTGACGTCATTAACTTGTGCATTTTCCAGTACTTTCTTTAAAAGTTGCAGATGTTATCAATTTTCAGTGGAATTTTCTTTCAGAAAACGTACTCTGCCACCGTCGCTTTTTATAAATTTTCGATAACTTTTATAAATATGAAGAAATACAGATATACTCTTGATCTCTCGAACTCTTCATCTCTCGAAACCCTTGATCCCTCGAAGTAAAATTGCAGTCCCGCTGTACATATTCTATTGAAATTCACCCTTGATACCTCGAAGTGGCTATGTGTACACAAAGTTACATATTTAGCAACTTTACCTGGACATTTATTGACCCAAGGCAGAAGACGCGGGTCTCGTGAAACAGGATGTTTATTCAGGTGATGATTAATTTATAATTAATCTTATGGTGCCTTTATGCTATCAAAATAATTATCATCGTTTGTATTACGATAATTCAGGAACCTAGTGTCGCTGAAAAATTGTAATTGCATATTACGAGACGAAACTTTTAATTAATTAAATTTTTATTTCGAATCAGTTTCAAAGTTTTACGAAATATGAAAATTCCGAAACAGCCTCGCCTATCAATATGACGAATGGACAAATACATACAGAACTTCGTTCAAAGCATATGTTTTGAAAAGTCACAATGCTATGTACCACGCGACGCTGGTAAATGCTGTTTTCATATAACGAATGAGTAGATCAGAATGATATCCGTATGATAAAAAAAATTAAAACAGGAACTGACTATGTACATTTTTTTTCCTTTACTCAGTTTGATAAATATTCAACTAAAATACGAAAACATATCGTTGTTTTGTAAAAAACCACGTGAAAAAGATAAGGACTGCATGAAAATCATTACATCCCAAACTCCATACAGTGTCGATTCTCCGGGACTACTTTCCCTATGACTAACGAATATGGAGTTGTAGCGTAACGTAATACTGAGCTGTTTGGAGCTTGATTACATCCGGTATGACTAATTTTAAAACCTTTTCAAACAAACCCGGAAAAATCCGGACTCTTGAAAACTCGAACTTTTGATCTCTCGAAGTTTTTCCTTGGTCCCGCAAACTTCGAGGTATCAGGAATTACCTGTATTCCATTTTTTAAAATCAAATTATTCAAATTTGTTTATAAAATATTTGTATATGAATTTGGATGTAATTTGACGTTAAATAAAAAAAATTAGGGCAAAAGTCAACAAACTTTTTGAATGACCCTCGTGTAATGTTTTTACTCTAAATTAAATATGTTAATCTGTAATTAACAATTATCATGCCAGCATCGGAATGTTTATTTTCAATCAAGCACTGCTCTATGACGCTATCAGTTCTCAAGGTAAAGTTCCTCTCCCTAATTTATCTGTTGTCAATCATTATCATATGCATGGGAATATGTTCAATCTGATAGTCACTTAATAAAAAGTAAGTAAACTAGACCTCTCTTTCACAACATTACAATGGCGACGAGGATTCTGTGAATAATCTTTTGGATATATACTAGTTCTACTGTGTAGTACACTTGTAGCAAAAGTTTATCCAAAAGGTCGGCATTACCAAACTTTCCACAATTTTCTGTGCATGAGAATGCAACGGACATACGCTGAAAGAAATGGAAGTTGAGACTGGACAATCTCATTCTTGCGATGGGAGTAAAGAACGATAAAACTAGACAGAGAGCTCTGCTACTCCACTATGCTGGAGAGGGGGTACATGAAATTTTTGAGTCATTGCCTAACACAGGTGATGATTACGACACAGTAGTAGCAAGGTTGACTGAATACTTCGCCCTAAAGAAAAACACTGAATTTGAAGTGTACAAATTCAGGCAGGCCAAGCAAGAACCCGGAGAAACAATTGACACGTTCCACACCAAGCTTCGACAATTGTCATTAACGCGTGAATTAAACAACAATGACAAAGAAGTGAAATCACAGATAATTAAAGGATGCAGCTCAACAAGACTAAGAAGACGAGCACTGAGGGACGACATAAACCTAGTAGATCTACTTAAGCTGGCAAGATCACTAGTGCTATCGGATAAACAGGCAAGCGAAATCGAGAAGACCGACAAAAGTGTTGAGGAAGTGAATTCAATGAGGAAACGTCGCAATGTACCCAAATTCCTAGAAAAAAACGTGGTACCAAGGATCGGACAGACACATCCTCAAAGGAGAAATGCTTCAACTGTGGTGGACAGTTTCCCCATCTGAAAGGACCGTATCCGGCAAAAGGTAAGACATGTAACGCATGTCACAAGATAGGCCATTTCGCATCCATCTGCAGATCAAAGAGCAAATCAATGAATCGTAAGCCCAAATCTGTGAAACAGCTGGAGACATGTAATAGCGACTCTGCTTCAGAATCTGTCGTAACGGCGCAGCGTAGTGTAAACGCATCACCTTGTTGGCAAAGGTCTGCGTAACGTTTTAGTAGAAGCGTGTCAGCAGCGTGTTTGACGTCAAGGCATAGTATTACGGTCAAAATGAAGACCATAATTTGTCAAATTGCTCGATTAAGACGCCGATCGGCTCCAATTGCAGCTCTTTGTGAACGGCTGGAGGGGTGTGTTTTATAAGTAGGTATAGTATTTTAACACTGGAACTCCTCACTCGCATTAATAAATGTGCTCAAAATGCCCCTATCCCTGGTCAAAAATTGTCTTTGTTTAGATTTTAAAAAAATATCAGATGTTTTTCTCTCATTCTAAAACACCTTTAC